TTCAAATAAGTCATGGTTGTACGGCAGTGAAGCATCGGTGTTGAACACTGATGTCATGCTGTCGATGATGATTAATTTGAAGAGATATACTTTGGCTTTTGAAATGATCGCCTACACGCGGGCTCCATAGAAGATATTCATCGAAAACTCAGTGTTTAGTATTTCCGAGAGGATACACAAAATCCACTACATTTCAGAACGGCTAAACACCACCATTATCATCACTGACGGAAAAACCATGGATGGAGTTCCGCAAGGAGTGCTGGTCCCTTATTGTTCATACTGTATGTTGATAACCTAGTGAGAAAATCATCCGATAGATAATCCGTTGGGGATTTGTAACTGTGAATGACCGTCCAGACGAAAAACAGCGAGTCCTCTTACTGTGACAAACCGCCTTAAGAGGCAGTCTGGAAGTAAAGCCATAAAGTCCTCTTCGGTGTAAAAGTGTGAACGCAGAAAGGCATTTACTTCTGGTAACCACCATCTTCGTATTCATGGAAGCAGCGATGCTGCCTTCTCCTCGAAGAATGACGGGTTAGAAAAGGTAGGCCCAGAAAACCGCACACTCCGGTCGCCCAACGGTTGACTGTTATTGCAAGAACCCAATTCAGTACTGTCGAAATGTTCTTGAAACCAGAGTCGGGTGCTTCTCGAAAGGCACCTGCTGTATGCAGCCGCATTAGGGTGAGATAATAGAAAACCGCACACTCCGGTCGCCCAACGGTTGACTGTTATTGCAAGAACCCAATTCAGTACTGTCGAAATGTTCTTGAAACCAGAGTCGGGTGCTTCTCGAAAGGCACCTGCTGTATGCAGCCGCATTAGGAGTGAGATAATTATGGCTTACTCCCAGCATCAGGCCAGCCCACTGTAGCCAAGCAAATCAATGGCTCCGGGAAGGGTCTTCAATAAAACCTTAACAATTGCTGCCTTACGTTTCACTTTTGAGTAGAGGCTAAGGGAGGATCCCCGAATAAAACCCTACGTTCTCCGACTGACTTGTGGATCAGACTTTGGAGTCAAAGGTTCAATGTGTGGTACCTCAACCAAACCACTTCATTCAGCCTCGGAAACCGGGGAGTATTGCTTACCCTTGCAGCTCCTCGCTCACTGGAACTGTGGGGAAAACCCTTACTTTTGAAGATGGAGAACAATAAAATATAACCATCCATCTGTGACACCCTTCCGTTTACACTTTTATCCTGCAACAGGAGCCGAAAAAAACTGGGTTGGCTCCACTAACGGAACTTTTGGCCAGTAGCTCATTAGACCCTGAATTGCCCGAAGATCGTCAAAGTTGGTGCAATTCTCCATAGATGGTACATATCGCCCGACTGTTGATAATATCTCCGCACCAACCCTGCAAAAGTTGTTCGGCCTCCAACTGGCTTGTGCCTGATCGGCATACAGTACACGGTGAACGGAAGGGAAAGCATGGAAGACCAAGACTCCGCATCAAGGTCTGGTCATCTGACCGGACATGAAAACTAAGGACAACACAATGCAGGCAAGGGCCTCGGAGTTTCGCTTGTTGCTGACTTCGAGATGCAGAATTTAGAGTTCGTCTAAAGAAACCTTCAGGATCGCTTTCCAAACTGCCTTCCACCAACACTTAATTAAAGGTGATAATAACAGTTCAGCTGTGACACGCCTTCGTTGCCCAACTACGATTCCATCTAA